GGGCCGGCTGACCCGACACTGTCCCGCAGCCACCGCAACGTCATGATGCGGCTGAACCTGCAGCTGACCATGGGCACCTTCTCGCTCTCGCTCTTCGGCCTGATCGGAGTTGCCTTTGGCATGAATTTGGAATCGTCCCTTGAGGAGGTGAGGGTGTTGTTTCAGTGAGCCAGGGGTTGTTCTTTCATGTTTTGAAGGTCCGTTTTTAAAACAGACTTTAAAAAGAAAGTCTTCGCTGTCCACTCTCCTCGGGACAGGAAATGTGTTCTCTGGCCCGTCCACAGCCAGGCAGGCTCCAGACCTGGTCTCCACGGCGCAGACAGCAGGCTTCCTGCTGCTCAGACGGGGTCACGCTGGCCGTGCGGGAGGCAGGCAGCGCCCTGGCCAGCGGCACAGCGTGTGGCTCAGCCGTTACGGCTCTGAAAGTGGGCGTGATTGTTCCCACTTCACAGATGAGAACCGTGAGGCCCAGAAAATGTCAGTGACTTGCCCAGGGCAGAGCTTGAGAGTCATAGTTGCATTTGAACCCAGAGACCTGCAGTCCCTCTGCTCTGCGCCTGGCACAGGAACGTGGCGTGGTGCTGGCCGAGCTTGTCCCTGTCAGACTCCTAGGCATGAACCCGACCCTGCGCTCAGCTCTGGCTCGGGTTCTGTGTCCTGGCGAGTCCAACGGGCCTTGTCTCTGGGTGCCAGCCTGCGCTGCCCATGGTCTCCATCAGGACCCCTGTTCACCTTGATAAGTGGTCGTTAAGAGACATGAACCTGAGGCCACTCCGGCCTCCAGCTGTTCAGTAGCCCTGGATGCCCTCAAGGTCAAAACCAGACGAACCTCCCCCAGGGCCTCCGTGATCCACACGCACGCTGCTCTCTTCCAGGACCACAGGGTGTTCTGGCTGGTCACCGGGATCATGTTCATGGGCAGTGGCCTGATCTGGAGGCGGCTGCTGTCCTTCCTTGGGCGGCAGCTAGAGGCTCCTGTGCCTCCGATGGTACGTAGTGCGGGTCCCAGCCGGAGGCTGAGCGGTCACAGCCATGGCTGTCGCGCCACAGCCGGTGTGGGTCAGGCAGACTCCTTGACCCTGAGCAGTTATTTAATGCCTCAGAGCCACTCGGTTCCCCACCGCCAGTCACGTCAGCACCGCCTGCCTCGCGGGGTTAGGGGAGCTGAGTAAGATAATGTGTGTGAAGCACATAGGAGCCGCCCGGAACATGGAGGACTGCTTGCTGGGGGGAGGGGAGACGGGGGGACGTGGGGACAAGCACTACAGCCCAGGAGATGGCAGTGACCCTGCTGCGGCTTCATCATGAAACGGAAACGCAGGAGCCAGCGCTGTCACTGGGAAAAGAGAGGTCACCGCCCCTTTCTCCCGTCCCACGTGACTCCCTGGTCCACGGGCGGGTCCCCTCAGCGGAGACGGGATGGCCTTCCTGTGAGAAAGACCCCACTGACACGCCGCTTGCCTGCTTTGCTCAGATGGCCTCCTTACCGAGGAAGACCCTGCGGGCAGACGGACGGCTGGACACGAAGCCCAGCCTCAGGCCGGACGGGCTGGGGTCCAGCAGGAGCGTCCTCACGCCCCGGTGAGCGCGGCTCGCACGGCGGTCGCTGGTGAGACCGAGCCAAGCACAGAGCGGCGTTGTCATCTGAGGAAGGCCCGGCGAGCGACCGACGAGGACATG